CTTTGCTTTAGCATCACACCCCCCCTCCTCCCGCAGAGCAGCGTGAAATTGATAAACAGATTTTGGAATGGTTAGAGAAACAAAGGATATGCCTTTATCCATTTTTTGTAGCAATTCCACTTTTTGTTTGATGGACATCGAAACATACTTTTGCTTTGTAGATCCTTTACATATTAGTAAATATATATCGGAAATTCTATTTGACATAATCGAAAGTTCAAGCTTACTTTTATAAAATTGCTCTAACAGTCTGCAAAAAATAATAAGCCGGTTCCAATTCGAACATTAAGGAACAATGCAATCTGCAACATTAACTGAAATAGATAATTTTAGCTTAGCTTATACCGTCCGTTATACATTAAACACGCATGGGTAAACGTATTATGCGCATGTGCACATGCATAGTTTGTAGCTTTGAGGTCCGGATTATAGATCATTCCAGATTATGGGTGTCCGGATTAACGACTTTTGACTATTAATTAGTTTTTTTTCTTTTTTCATCATTCAGTTATGAATGAAGATGAATTCAATGATGAATAATATATTTTTGTGAGATAATCCATTTTTTTTAATTGGATCGGATGTAATGAATAAAAAATTCTGGCCCATGAAGCTTGTTATATTGGGGTTCAGTTGTGTTTATAATTGCAATAAAAGAATGTTTGAAATTTAAATTAAGAACTTAAAACTATTATGCAATGGTAATAAAAATATGTATTTTTTCAAATGAACAACTAGATATTATTAATTCAATTTTAATTTTCAATCAAAATATACATCAAGCTTCTCTGGGCATTATGATATTTTATGTTTGGCTGTGAGTTTGTTTCTTCTTTTTTACATAAAAGGTTTATGAAATTAGTAAAAAAAAGAACCTTCAGATAATCAAAGAAATAGTATTTATAGTTCAAATTTTAAAACTATTCCTTTCAGGTCTTTTATCTTAATGTTATATTATAGCTAATTTCGCATGTTAATAGAATTTAAGGAGGGCATTTGTTGTTCTTAAACAAATTTGTTCAAAACAAGTTTTCTTTTTTATAATTTTTTTTAATTGAAACCTGATTTTAATATTTATATTTTTTTGTTAATGACCTGATTACTTCTAGGTTTTTTTAACTGTGTTATTTCATATGCTCATTCATAAAGTATATTTATATTTTTCTTCTTTCGATACATCATATGTTATCTTTGCGTGTCATTATTATTTTTTATTTTTCTTTGATTTGTTATTTTTGTTTTATTTTTTGGAAGAAATCTTTGGCATTTTATAATTTATTGGTCTTTATCTTATAAGTTTGTATTTATGGAATATATACTTTCTGCTTTTCTAATTTTAATTTTTATTTGTTTGCTAATGTCTAATATTTCTTATGTATATAATAATTTTTCCAGTAAATAAATACCTAAGTGATATTAATTTGTATAAATGTTTAAGATAAACAAAAATAAATTTTGTACTTTATATGTAAGTATATTGTGTATCTTTATTAAATACATAAATATTTTAAAATTTTTTTTTTATTTTTTTAGTTCTTTAAGCATATATATTTATATATCATATATAATGATATAATTTACTATGTAATGATCTTACAGAGATATATAATATATATATATGAACTGTTATATATATGTAGAAAAGAGTTCCAGCATACTTAAAAAATGCTATATTATATAACGCTATTCAATATTAAGATGTAAAGATACACTTGATATTTTGATTGATATACAGTATAATTTTTTATAAAATTTTATTTAGTAATTAATAACATATTATTTATGCTACTATTTTGTATAACCATTTTTGTTCCACTGAGAATTATATTTATATTATAAACACAAATTGTAGATATACATGTTATATAATGATAAATTAAGATCCAGAGAGTTAAAAAAAAAATATATATAATATACAAATATTATAAAATGTCTCAGACCACATAAGATAAAAATTGAAAATACAATTGCAAATAGTGTGTTACCTATTCTTGAAAGGTGATTTCATTATACAGTTTAAACAGACCCAGATGTATAAAACAGTTTAGTAATTTTTCAAAATCTCAATTCTACGAAGTTGATCTGTGAGTGATTAAATTAAAATATACAAACATAAAATTTACTGGCTAGCCTGGACCTGGTTTGAGCAAAGCTTCCATTCAAAATGGATATAAATTCAACAGATTAAATAGAGTTCGCCTACAGATTACAAGATTGCCCGTTTTGCATCATAAATCTAAGATCTAAACTTAATCTAAAGTATTCCCAGCAAGACCAGCATCTGTGTTTGTAACAGTTTTTTTTTTTTTTTTTTTTCCCAATCACCAGAGCAGCAGAATGGAGACCAAACTCTCATCCTATTCATAAATCTCTAAACTTTGTAATAAAGGTATTTGCCTCTCAAATCTACATAAATTCTGGAATGGACGAACCTCATGGTGAAAAAAGGCAGAAAGAAATTAAAATACCATTTTGCTAGTAAACATAAATGCCACCGTATAATGTAAGAAGTATAAGTATATATATTATGTACATGCATACATACACTTCCTGCATGTGTAAAATTGAAGTCCAAAAAGCAAATTTGAATGAAAATTATACATATTGAATAAAATATACAAATTAGGAATACATGTTGATACATAATTAAAGGAAGTAATTCAAATTATAAGAAATTTGGTCAAGTATGATAAGGACATAAACTATGTATGGATGTATGGAAATTAAGATTGACCAAAAACTTTTTATTCCCAAAAGATTGTGCTTAAAGAAATAGGGTACTGTTCATTCTCTGTACATAATTAATAACAATATCTGAACATTCAGTATACTATCTGTACATGACCTGTATAAGATAATGTTCATGGTTCCAGGTTATTCTGGTCTCTTGAGATGTTTGTCTTGTGATGAGTGATGTTCAGTACCAGTATTTGTGTATTTTTTCAGAAATGTCTGGCTTTTAAAGCCATGTGACTTTTGAAGATGGTTACCTTGAGAAATTTTGCTCTCTTGTATGCATTATTATTAAAGTAATTTATCATTTTAAATTTGTCAGTTAATGTGAAAATTTCTATTAAAATAAGGACTTGTTATCCTTAAACTTATTTTTTGAAATTCATAGTTTAGCACTTCTACAGGCTCCTAACAATCTTGTTTTAGTAAGAGAGTTTGAGTTTAGACTTCTAAAAAATTATTTTTATAATAGTGTGATATCATTGGACTTCCTAAGTTAGAAGCAATGGGTTATGCCAGAACCTTCTGGATTAAAAAAAAAAAAAAAAAAAAAAAAAAAAAAAAAACAACAGACACTTTTTTGGGTGGGTTTTATTTAACATAACAATAGAAATTCATATTTAGCATCTGCAGAACAAGATTGCACTTTTTGCAGAAAGAAATAATCTCAGCAGATGTAGAATGTCTGGACAGTAACAATATCAAATCATTATCATCTAATCTTTTTTTCTCTTTAATGAGTAAAAATTATAACGAGAGGATGAAATCTAAGGATTTATTTGAAACTTCCATGTTGAGTTACTAGTTAGACGGTTCAGAAGCCTTGATTTCTCTTTAGGAGTTGATCAAACAGCTTGGGTTTTTCCCATAAGAAATCCGTTAATTGTAAACACATGCTGTAATTGTACAATGGCGGGGTACAAGTCTATAAGTAAAATTAGATTTTTTATGAATGGCTGAAACCTGAATTATTAAAATTAATTTCTGCACTTGATTTTTGTTTTATAGCTTGCAGGTTTTTTTCATCTAAAAGTTAAAAGTCCTTTGGTATATGGAAATGATTGTGTTCTCAAAAGTCCGGTAAAAATTGGTATCTAAAAAAGCGAACTGCCAACTTCCTGCATTCTCATCTAACTTTTCTTTTCCTTTTAATTTTTTTTTCCCTGTTGAGGATGAACAAACATTTGGAGGAGTTTTTTGAAACAAAACATTAGCAAATAACTTTTCCTTTTTCGGATATGGGTTATGCAGCCTTAAATTTGTGTATTTTTAAACATTTAGCTGGCATTTTTTCAATATTTGTGAAATTGTTGAAAAATTTTTTTTATTCTTTTCTTCATCTTTCATCAAAATACCATTGTAACAACTAACTTTGGAATATCTTTAATGATCTAAAATGTTTAATTTATGTTATGAAATCACGTATAAATTTTGAATTTTTATTTTCTTTCTCTTTCATTGAATTTCTTATCATTGATTTTATAAAAGTTAATGATTTATTTCAAATTTTGTTCCCTAAACACTTTCTCTTAACATGTTTCTCTTCTTTTATTTTATTTTTCGCTTAACATAAGCATAGCATTGAAGCAAAGAAATTGAAACCGATGATTTTTTAAAAGATCATCATATATGTCTCAGGCCTGCCTAAATTTTGTCGCTCATTATTTAATTAAATTCAAAAATCAGCCAACTCTTTGCACCCACGACTTTAACCATATTTACATCCTTTCATATTTCAATACTTATATAAGGAAATAAACTTTAACAGTTTTCGTACATTCTACAAGCCTTTTTAATATAGAGAACAAATGTTAATTAAATCTGAAAAATTCTAAAATGAAGAGGAAATTCAGTGAAACTGGTTTAATTTTTAAAGAAAATTATTTTCAAAGTTACATTGTTGAAACATTAACAGATTAGGAGATGAAGCGAAGACTAGTGGGAACATTGATTTATTTATTGAAGCAAATAAAAATGCATTAACATTGTTTTTCCTTTTAATGTTTAGTTACACTAATATCATTTTTTGAAACAGTATTGTAAACTACAACTGTTGTAAAGTATTTTTAGTGCTCTTTTAATGTAATAACAAGGAATAAAAGAAAAGTAACCAGTCATATCTTAATTATATAATTTAACTGTAATCTCACATTTTTTTAAGCTTGAAAGTATACTTCTAATGATCTTTTTTTTATTATGTTTTGTCACTTCTAGTTTGTAAGTTTTTTAACATAATATAAATTTTATCTATTTTATCCTCTTTCTAGTATCCCTCCTTTTTTACTGCTGGTCAGTTTTCAACCACTGGACCAACACGAGAACAGGTTTGTGAAAATCATAATACTAAATCCTTATAATAGTGTTTTTGAATGTAGAACATAAATTTTGTTTCGTGACAAATGAAAGAAATATCTAATTAGGTAAAATTAAAATAGAATTTAAAAATAATTCACAATATTTAAACTGTTGAAAATTGGATTATATCAATGTTGTGTTGAATCATTTTAGGTCATATAAAATTTGAGGTTACAAATTTAATAATTTCTGTTTTTTTCCCACACATCTTAATGGTAATGTTCTTGGACTATACTAATAGTTGCAGAAAAATAAAATTTTAAATTTTAATAAATGTGTATTGCTTGATTTCATACACTAACTTATCCGCACATAAATTTTTTTCAAAAGAAGTTGGTATAACTAATTTAATAAATTATAAAAACTGAATATTTGAGGATTTGTGTTTTAACAAAATTATTATATTTTTGCAATTTTTAGAATATTTATTTTAGTGATAATTATAGTTACGATTTTTTACGAAATGAAAATATGAAAAGTTAGCAAAATTTGAGCAGATGCATCAAAAATTAAACTTTTTTTATTTTTCAATTTTAGGGATGGTTATTTAGTTTTTCAAGTTATTAATCATAATGAGTCATTATTTGTACCTTTTGAAAAAATAGTTTAAATTTTTTTTAGTCATTTATATACTCCTCATGCTGAAAATTTTAATTTTCAATTGGCATCCCACTCCATAACCTTGTATGGGATTTTAACTGATTCTTTTTCTTCTACTTTAGCGGGCTGAAAGTATTCTTTATGTTGCATTATGTGAATATAATTATAGTATAATCACCCACTTGAATGTCCCAACATATCATGTGAATAAAAGAATCATTTCAAAGCAGGCAGTTGCATACTTGAACTTGGTGTAATGTCATCAAAAAGTAGCTCTGGTAGCGGTATTTTTTGTTAATCGCGAACGTGAAATTGTAACATACGAGCCAGTTCATGTAAGATAGCCCTGTGTTAATGTTTCTTGGTTGTTCTATACGTTTTGTATAACTGCCGAACTGAAGTGTAGAAAAGTAAAAATTTTCATTACCAATTTTTTTTTTTCTAAAATTCCAAATTTTTTTATTTCTTGTTTTTCATCATAATTGTTAATTTTAAATTGCTGCAAATTTTTAGAATATTTAATTTTTAAGTGATAATATAGCTAATATTTTTTACTTTTGAAAAATATTAAAGAATTTTGTTCAGATCATGACAAAAATTAAACTTTTTTTTTTTTCAATTTATGGAATATTTAGTTTTTAAGTGATAATATAATTTTTACTTTTGAAAAATATTAAAGAATTTTTTTTTTCATTTTATAGCTAAAATTTATAATTTAATTCCATCCCACTCTCCACCTTTTTTTTTAAATCTGAATTCTTTTTCTTCATCTTTTAAAGCTGAATTAGATTCTTTATGTTGCATTATGTTGAATATAATTATCATATTACCCAACTATGTCACTATGCATTGAATAAAAAGAACATTTCAAAGCATGTGAATTTGAACTTGGTGTTAATGTCAGCATAAATTGTAGTTACAGTAGCATTATTTTATTGTTAAACATAATTCTGTGAAAGAATTTCATGTAAACACTGTTTATGTATTTGGTTCTATCTTAACTAAGTGTAGAATAAATTATTACCATCATTATCTTTTACCAAAAAAATTTTAATTCTGTGTTTTAGCATCTTCTTTTTAATCACTTTAAATTTTGCAAGAAAAAGTGAAAAACTTTGTTCAGAATTCTCATGGCAAAAGTTTTGTAGATTAGCATGTCTTTAAAACCTTCTGCATAAGAATAAAAAAATTACATTGGCTTCTATTTTTCGCTTTCTTTTTTTGAAAATTATTTGCAATTTCTTTCAGAGCCTGCTTATGCATTAACATCAAAGTGCATGGTTCAAGCTGGTTTAGTGATTTTGCAGGAACAAGATAAACTGCCACTCGAGTAAGCATATGCAATATTTCTTTTTAAGGTTTGGCATTATGATCTTTTTTAATGAAACAATTAGACTGTATTTTATGCTAAAAATAATTTTAAAGTATGGTAGGGATGTAATTTGACATTGGGGGATATTTATAATAGTAGGTTTTATTTTTCTGCTATATAATTCTTAAATATTGAATGAGCATACATAGCTGTGACAGGATAATTAAAATAAAGCCTCCACATGATGACCATTCATAGTTTCAGATGATTTTGGTCTTCTATGAAAGTGGTCAACTTAGTGAATATGAAAGTTCAAAAGATATCAACATTTATGAATGAAAACTATGATCACTTCAAACTTAAATGAATATTGAATAAATTCAGTTATGAAGTACTATTTTTTAAAGATTTTTAAAAAATGTTACTTTTAGAGATGGTAAAATAAATAAATAAATTTAAAAAAAAAAAATAAAAAAAAAACCACAACACACACAGTATTATTATCAAGCTACTTTCTTTTAAGATCAAAATCCTTCTTTACTTAAATGCCTTATTTAATAGGAATTTAATTTTGTTTGCTGTGTGTTTTTTTAGAATCCATAATAGAGAGATTATTCTTATCAAATCTTCTTTCTCCATATATAAAAATTAGTGTAAATTACTTTTAGATTTCAGTTTGAAAAAAATCTCCTATTATATCAGTGTTATGGGAAAGTAATGTAAGATTATAACATGCCAGAATTTAAATTAATAGAAATATGGTATTAAAGTGGTTCTGAAGTCAGATATATACCAGCGGGCGAGAGGTAAAGTCGCTAAACACTGGTAGTTTGGTCCGAGGTTAGAAAGTCCTCCACGAAGGCATCCCTCCCCTTAGGTAGATAGCCCTCGAGGCTTTGCTGTAGTTGAATAACCTAACCTAACCTGAAGTCAGATATTGTTATAATCTTGATATCATACTCTTTCTTTCCAAACTCCATTGAACTATATTATTTAAAAACTTTGAGTATTTTTTTCCATTTCTTATTATTTTAATTTATAAATATTATGCCATTATTTATAATTCAAAGATTGAAGAAATATGAAGTTTAAAAGACTTGAAAACAGTTCAAGATTTAGATTCAAGGAAGTTTAGGATTCTATTTCCTTTAGTTTCTTTTTTTAATTCAAGTTGTAAAATTGTATATATTTATATTGTTACGAATAGTGTACATAGATAGATGTTTTTATATGATGGATGATATTATGTGCAGTTATATTAGAAATTGTTGTATTTTTCTGTGTAATGTAACATAAAAAAAATCCAGAGAGATGAGATATGCCGGAAAAGTAAGAATACAGGGGCAAGTCCATATAACATTGAGTAAAAGGTTATGTCGGTCGTTTGCCAAGATATTGCCGAGCTGGCAATGGTTTTGGCGACTAATTTTTGTCACCCAATTTGGCGAGAAATCTCCAAAAATCCCCAAATTAGGTGACATTTTGATCTGGTCCCCTATGTTATTCTAATAGATATTGTAATTGAAAAAATGTAATTGACCATAGCCATACCTTCCAATTTTTACGAATTTTTCATAATTTTTACGAAAATGCGTTTGTCTTTACGATTTTACGATTGTAATCCATTTTTTACGTTTTTTTTCCTTTTTCAAGTGTTTTTAGAGATTTTTGTCGAAATTTTAGAATTTTTCGCCAATTCAGCGATTTTTGCCAATTGCATCGTGTTTTACCGACTACTTAGAATCCAGTAACCTGCAGTTTCTCCCAACTCGCCGCTTAACCAGCCAATCCAATGCGCTGAACTTGTTTCTCCCACTCTTTTCTTTGTGGGTGCCAGATTATTTTTTTCGCGTTCACTTCAGCAGCAAGGGAATTACTCAGCTCGGACTCAGCGAGCGTGGATTGTTGCATTCTGTTTTTTTTTTTTTTTCTTTGCACGTGCTGCGAATTTTCTTAATACGTCATTGTTATGAAATGAGTTTAAAAAAACCATATTCTCAATATTTTCGGCCTGCCTACAAAGCCGAATTTCCAACAATTAAAGAATCCTTCAAAGGAAATAACTATGCACTTTGCAACGTGTGCGTGTATGACTTCATAATAAGTCATGGTGGAAAAAGGATGTTAAGTGTAAAAAGCATAAGTTAATGCTTTGGCTTCGACAACGTCAAAGAAAGTGGATGATTTTTTTTTCAAATTCGGCTACGAATTCGGATGCCGATGTCATTTTGGCAGAGTGTTTGTTTACTGCATTCCTCATTGAACACAACATGCCGCTAAGCGCTGCCGATAACGCCGGTCAACTTTTCAGATGGATGTTTCCCCACTCCAAGATTCCTCAGAAATATGCTTGTGCTCGCACGAAAACATCGTCTATTGTGAACGAAATTGCTTGCGATGCACAAAGTAAAACGATAGCTGCACTCCAGAATTCAGCATTTTCGGTGTCAATCGATGGCAGCAACGACAGCGATTGGAAGCTTTACCCCATCGTTGTCACATATTTCTGTAATGTATGAAAACTCATCTTTTGCATCTTCCATTGTGAAATGGAGATGCTACAGGGGAAAATATTGCCTCCTTGGTAATTAATGAGTTGAAACAAATTAACATTCCAATATCAAACTGCATTTCATTTGGTGCAAATAATGCTCATGTCATGGTGGGTGACAAAAAGGGTGTAGCCTCTTTCCTCAAAAAAGAACAAAATGAATTAATTGTTATTGGATGCCCATGCCACTTAATTAATTTGGCAGCAGAAAAAGCTGCAGCTGCTTTACCATTAAATATTGACCAGCTTCTGATTGATGTGTTTTTCTATCTGGAAAAAAGTGTAAAAAGGAAAGAATTAAAGAATCTCCAAGAACTGTGCTCTGGTCAACTTTGTTAAAGAAGTTGAAGAGAAGAAGAAACAGTCTTCTAATAGCTGGGAGGAAAGGATTTTCTGTCTTCTTTCTTCGGATTTGAACAAAGCATATTGTAGTTTTGTGTTAAGTACCATTAAGATTTTTGAAAGTGTAAATAACCTTCTACAATCAGCTTCACCAAAATCTCCCCTGCTTATCCAAATTCTTAATGATCTTTTAAAAGAACTTTATACTAAGTTTGTAAAACCGTCCGTTGTGAAAAAGTGTGTTGATTCGTGTTGCCTATAATAGTTTGGCAAATCAAAAGGATGACAATGATCTTATAATTGGAAATCAAACCAGGGAACTTGTAAATTCTTTGAAAGATCATGAGAAAAAAGAATTTTTTCAATGTGTTAGAAAGTACTTTTCCTCAGCCCGTGATTACATTGTAAGGAAGTTTCCTTTGCAAAATGAAGTTCTTTTAAATGCTGAAGTGGCAAATTTGAAACAAATTGAAAATTCAGCTTTTGAAAAGATTCGTTTTCTTATTGATAAATTTCCATTTTTGTTAACAATTAAAGAAAATGAATGCCATAATGATGCTTTAGATGAACTACAGAACCAATTTTCTGCTGCACAGTTTGAAGACTTTGCCAGTTCTGGAGAAGATAGACTTGATGTCCTCATTGGTACCTTAAAAAGAATAAAAAGAGCTGATGGAACACCAAAATATGATAGACTAGCAATTTTTTTTGCTTTCTCGTTTTATGTGCTATTCTTGTAATTCCACACAGTAATGCTGAGTGCGAGAGAGTCTTCAATGTTGTGAAGAAAAACAAAACTATTTTTCGTTCTTCAATTTCACCAAAAACTCTAGAAAACATTTTAATTGCTAAATGTTATGAGGAAACTAATTGTTATGACAGGAAATTTTATCTTCATGACAACAATATCTTTATGACAATATCTTATCTTTATGACATGAATTTTTGGCTAAAGCCAAAAAATGCAGTCTAAATTCATTGCAATAATTTTGTGTAACATTAAGTTCTTGTTTTATGTTTCCTAATAAAGTTTTTAGTTACTACTTAATTGAGATTTACTAATGTAAGTACAATTTTCTTTTTTCTATTTGTATAAATTGTTATTTTTTAAATATCAAAGCATGATATTAATTCTTCGTGTTCTTCTGAATTTTGGAGAAATCTTCTGAATTTTTATCTTTAGAGGTTGGCAGGTATGCCATAGCTGTAATCGTATTTTGACCCTCATATTGCCTTCCAGTAATTTTGAGAAGCAGAAAATAGTAGAAATATCTTGGCGGCTGGGAGAAAACTATATAAGACTGGAGAAAGCATCTGCTGTCAGTTGTTATAAATTGTTAATTCAGTGGTGAGTTCAGAGTACTGAGATATCTCTGGTTAGCTTTCTCTTTAGATGTGCTTTGCATTGCATTGTTTTTAACGTTCTTAGTAGTTTGAAGTGTAACTACTGATTGTACTCTGTGATACTGTGAATACCTGTGAAATTTCTGTGTCAAATTCCAGAACTCTGATTTTTTTTTTTTGGATAAAATAAATGTTGTCAACTTATCATCGGACCTGTGTGCATTCAATCTATTGTGAACCCGTATGCACACAAGAATATTGTACTGTTCGGTAAGGTTTGAGATGATTATCAGCATGATGTAAATAGGTCTTTAAAATACTATATCGCATGAGATATAAGCATTGCAAAGTAGGTGATGCAAGAAAAATGGAATTTACCCTACGATTCTGACTTCATAAAAAAAACTCTTATTAGAACCATAGAAACAAAGTTTTATGGGTTAAATTAACTGAATGGCAGAATAAATGAAGGATCGGTCATGCAAAGGGAGATTATACCCATATTCCTAATTGAACTGCAGAATAAATGGATGATCAGCCATGCAAAGAAAGATTCGCATCCATATTCCTAGTAGAATTTCTTGCAGTAGATATCCATTTCAGTTAGGTATCTGAATCAAGATTTTATTAATCTTGGACATATTACAATATATTATGGAAAATTTAGTATAAAGTATTATGCATGTTTGTACTTTTGGTCAAATGCCGAATTTGGTAATTTTATTTTGTAATTTGTAATTTTGCTGCTTCAAAGCACATAGAAAAACTTCGTGTATGTGCTTCTAATGAATCTAGGAACTTTTAATTCTGTACTACACAAGAACAGGGATGTTTAGCATAACTAAATATTTGCCTATTCATATATGTTACATTGAAGAATGAAGAATTATGCTTGTTTGAACATATTATTTCTTTATTTCCATTTTGTTTTCTTTTATGTAATATTAGTAAATTATGTCATATTGTTCAGTATAAGCTTCTTTCACATTGGACTAACTGGGATCCAGCTATGATGGTGCCACTACAAATCTTCCAATATTTTTTTAAAGATGCACTTTACATTTCTTATAAAAATATATATAATAATAACTGGTAGCCCTTAGTATTTATATATAGTATATAACAATATACTATATAACAATATAATAATGTATAACAAGTTTTATATATTTGTATAATTTTGTAGTTGAAGGTATAAGGCTAATGCAAGTGTCCACCTGAATCCTCTGGATATGTTATTTTGAAACGGTGTCTATGCTACTTACTATAAGCATTAAAAAATCAAAGATCATATTTCAAAATTGGAAGTTTACGTAGCAAAACTGCAGCAGGATTTCTGAAAGCACAACGTGAAGTTTATGGCAGTTGAACAGTAGATTATAGTAGAGTCTTCTTTGGGCTGCTTGCTTTTGTGGAGAGCATGTTGGATATATTTTTTGATTAGAGGCCAGGAAGATAAGAATCATCATTGAACGAAAGAAGTGTGGTACTTATAGCTGGCTAAAAAAGAAGAAAAATCATGTAGGAACATGTGAAAAAAATGTCATAAACTACAGTGACCAGCATACTGTATTTTGATAAAAGTTTCCTGTAAATGAAATGTTTGTGACTTTCGAATCCCTCACTAATTGATGCAATTTTCTGTCGAGGGTTACTCAGAGCTAGTGTAGCTTGTATGGCTGCACTAAGCAGCGGAATTTAGGAACTGTAAAATTGCAATATGTGGCAGAAAGCCTCATACCTACCCTGGCATTACAAAGGAATTATTATGAAAGCTACAGTTCCATGTAGAAAATGGGTGATTGTGACATATTAATGCGAGTGGTTGCAAAAATGTGCAGAAAAACACACAAAAGAACATGACTTTATTAGGGATAGACAATGCATTTGGAATTTTATAAAAAGAACAAGCACTTAGGAAAGTTATGACATATGCGTTGACCAAGCAGGAATATAAAGTTTTACCTCATCCATTGTAAAACTACGTATAAGTACACCAGATTTCATTTTCTTTCCCAGTTTGAAAGACCCCCTGCATGAACTGTGCAGTTTTCCTGCTTGTGGAATGAGGTTTCTTCAACATTTACTAAAGGCATTAAAGGGCTGAACAAAGTAATGATTTTCAAGAAATAACAAATTTTCTGATACTCGTACAGGTGCTGAATGCATAAGAACTATATAGAAGAATTGAAGACTCTAAAGCAATGTTGCTCAAAATGTAGTAAAGCTGAAAGAAAAAAAAAATCTTTTATGCTGATCATCACATGTTTAAATAACATAGCCAGAGTAGTAACTAGCAAAATAGAAGTACTGACCATTTTGTTTGCTACTGTTATGATTAGTGCATGATGGGCAATTTGAAATCGATAATTACTGCATATAATATAATTAAAAAGATTAAATTACTTAAGGAAAAAAGCATGTTTTCTGTTTCAAACTGCAACTGTATTTCAAAATAAAAAATTTGTTAACTTGAGGTGCATATGTGGCTCACAAGCTACTATGCCCTCTATCAGCAAGTGCGCCAGCTAATCACTACATTGATGCAATCAAGTATGTGTTATTGTTAATAGAAATAATTTTGAGCTATTATTTTTAAGCATTGTTGTAAAGAAACACTTGCCAATGCAAGTAAATAATTTATGTTTCCTTTCATGTCATTTTTCTTGTGCTTGTGCCACAATGTATGGCTTACACATATATATTCCTTTACAGAAAATGATTGTCATTTTGTAGGCTACCACTCCTTAAAGGTATAACCATCAGTTTTATTGCACCTTGTGTGTGTATGTATATATTAAAATCGGGATGTATACTGGAAGTTTTGCCACATGTATTTAAAGTAGTATTAATGCAATAAGGTATAAATATTGGAGATTATGTTATGTTTATAGCATTTCTTTGAAAAGAAATGAAATATCTCTTTATTATTCTGTTGCAGGGTTTCTTAAACTGTGGGTCACGACCCCCTTGGGGGTAACGGGACCTGCAGCAAGGGGTTGCCAAAAATTTTATCAGTTTTAATTTTTCCATAACTTATTATAATAGTTTTATAATTACCAAGTATTTTTACACAATGTATCTGAAAATAGATAAAGATAAGACAATACAGACAAAGGAAAAATGAAAATGTTTTGGCACATTCTTTTTATAATAGAAACGTTCATTATCCTTTCTTTGCACGTGATGCTGTCATTTCGTCTGTTACTTATTTAAAATTTTCACATTGGTCTATGTCTTAAAATTAGAAATTAAAGTTAAAGACCTAAAACTGCAATAGTATATTACAGTACAAGTGAAAAATTGACAGTTTCGCTCACGCCTGTGTCATATTTGCACAATGCTTACAGGGCCGCACAAAATTTTAAAAATATTATGGGGTCCTAGGGGTCACAAAATTTAAGAAACCCTGCTCTAGTGCATTAACCCATTTATTTATTTATCTATGCATTTTGAAGGTCATACCTATGAGATATTCTTCTCTTGCAGAGGTGGCGTTCTTACTCCTGGTGTGGCTTTTGAAAACACTTCTCTTTGTGAACGACTTGAGAAACGTGGCATAACGTTTGAGTTTGAAACAGTAAAGTGATATGAGCTATGCAGAAAAAAATATTTTATACATAGTGGGAAACTGTGTAACTTTAAGTATTGTATTGTTAAGAGCTTTCAGATTTTGTTTATTTGCAGGTTGATTTTCTATTAAATTTGTATTTAGTTTGAAAATATTTTTTATGTAATCTTTTGATGAATTTTTGAATATTTTACTTCATATACTATACATTTTGCTACATGGAAATGGCTTAACTAAGTTTGATTGATATACATTTATTACTTCTTCGTTCTGTCACTTTTTTTTTTTACATATCAGGATTTTGATTATGGTTTTTCTATATTATATATTGTACTTGCTGTGTAATTTTGTATATAATAAAATGCAGAGATTAATATTTTCTCTTTAAATAAAAAATTGAACTGTGATAAAAATACTAAATGTAATGAATGAATTATATTTGTTAATGAATTCTGCGACTTTGCACTAATGTGAACTGCATTAATAATATTTTTCTGTGATATGTTTCTTGGATTTAATAAAAAGTGTAACTATAATAAGTTGTATAATTTATCAGTATACAGTGCCTGTAACATATTACATGTGTATGTTTATTTTAAATACCTGCTTTTAAGATTCATTCATGCTGGATTTATAATACAGTGATTTAAAACGAATTTATTTTAGTTGTCAGAATCTATTCTGCTTCTCTTACCTTTGTTTCTTCCTAAGAACTTGCAACAAAATATGACAGTTTAGCAACAGACATAAATATAGATGCAATATCTTAACTGATGTAACACATTGTAATCTTAACTGATGTTAGGTTAGGTTAGGTTATTTAATTACGGCAAAGCCTCGAGGGGTATCTGCCTAAGGGGAGGGATGTCTTCGTGGAGGACTTTCTAAGGGAAACTGGCTCGTATACACGTTACACATGGGGAAACCACGAAAACACCCATGCAGCCAGCCCGTTCGCGGGATTTGAACCTCGGACCGAACTACCAGTGTTCAGCGACTTTAACGCTCGGCCGCTGGTGGGCTCTTAAATTATGTAAAAGTCGCCAAAGTAGGCAACATTTTGATCCTGTCCCTATATCACTGTAATAAATATTATTCAGGGTTCGTAGCGGTCCTTGTAAGTGCTTATAAGTCCTTATATTTGAAAATAAAATATAAAGGCCCTTGTAGGTGCTTACTTTTTCTTTAAAGCCTTTATTTTTTGGTTTTTAGTGCTTACTTTTTGCTTTTAGTGCTTTTTTTTAAATGAACGCGCAATTTTCCCCCGTACCAAAGCCGAAACTAAATAAACAACTTTTCTTCCTAATATGGAATGACAGATAGTGAATCATACTCCCGGAAATAGCTTTTCCACCTTTCTCTGCCTTAACATAACCTTGGTATGCGCAGGAGTACAGACAGGTGCCCGTCGTTCTTTGGTTCAAAGAATTGCCGAAAGCAGTAGAAAATTCCAATACATTCAGCATTCTTTTCCTCCCACCCAATATTACACACGTTTGAATTTCTATCAAGATGTTCAATAATTTGCATTCTCGTTCCGCTTGGTCAGTTCATATTCGCATTTATGATGATCGTTATGCTTATATTATGAGCAATGTATGAATGTTTATATAACATTAGTTTGCAGTAACTGCTGAAGTATAAGTAAACTTCCAAAAATGGTTGTGTTTTAACACAGATTAGCTTTCTAATTGATAATATTTGGAACGGCTTAAATAAAGGGAAAGTAATCGAATAGTAAAAAAAATTTAATTTTTTTGACCAACACATTATACAGTACGAAGGTTGGGAGGTTCTCCCCTTTCTCCGCAAAATCTCGAAAATTGAAACTGTTACAGTTCGCTGCAAAACAAAGTAGGACAAGTAAACAACGGACCTCTTTTTTTTTTTTTTTTTTTGTCACTTTCCAGTAGGATAGGACTAAAAGTTCTGCGGTCTACCAACCCAAGCGAAGAATGATTCTATTCCAGAAATTTAACGCAGTCTGCTGAAAATTAGAATGAAAAACACCCCAGATTGGTAAGTCTTTCTTTTCCTTTATTTAGTTCTTTATTCTCCCAATACCGACAGCTGTTGAATTCGATTGCATAATATCATGTATGGAAGAATTACGGTGCATGTATTGCACAATAACGTTTGCAATATTGTGCAGAGATAAATAATTTTGATGTTCGGCCCGAAATTTGTTTATGAACACTTAAAAGAGTTTTACTGTGCTTGCTAAGCAAAATATTTTTCTGTTCCGTTGGTTTGTTTTTATTTGATGCACATATCGAAATGTAAAAAGCATTTATTTAGCGGATAAAAGTCCAAAGAACGGCTGCAGTCTATCCCCCTCCGCTCCTCTTTTTCAAATTACGCTCGACTGTCCGAATAGCCAATTTTCAAGTATGCGGGTAGTTAAGCTTTTACTGTTAAAGGATGACTGCATGAAGCAAGTTTCTGTCTTCCGATTTCAGAAATGTTCCTCTTTTTTACTTAAATCACTTTGCTTGCAATATCTGTTAAGGGAAAACTGATATACAATGAAAATTTAGAAAATGTTCAGAATTTAGATTTAAATTAGTTAAATATCAATATGAGTGGAAAAATAAATTGTTCTTTTTTATTAAGTTCCAAGCGAATATAATAAATATGCCTTATTATTATTTATTTCCTCTATTTTGAACTGAAATTTCATCATTAAATCTTGTAGTATAGTTTAGTTATGCATAGTTCCCCCTGTCCTCTCGTTGTAAACTAGTTCTGTAAATTGAACTGTTATTTAAAATTAAAAAAAAAAAGTAATTACTTTTCCATGGTTGAGGTAATGCTTATTCTCTCTTAAATAAATACTGTGCATTTCTCATATTTTAAATTACTAGTCTAATTTTTAAAGTTATGCAGTTGTGTATAATGTAATTAGACAGGTGCTTATTTTTTTTCATAAAATGTGCTTGAAAAGTGCTTATAGGTGCTTATTTTTTTAACTGAAATGTGGCTATGAACCCTGTTATTGTAATTTAATAAATGTAATTGATCATTATATTAGCTGTAACTATAATTCGACCCTCATATTGCCTTCCAGTAATTTCAAGAAGCAGAAAATAGTAGAAATATTTTGGTGGCTGGTGAAAACTTTGTAAGTTTAGAGAAAATGGCTGTATTGAAAATTATAAAATAAATTCTAACATTCCATTTTGCAAGACTGAAAAGCTGAGTTTATTATATTACTCTCTGGTAATATAATTTATAAAATTCTACACAATTTCATTAACTTAAAAAGTAAAAGCAGTACATAAGTAAATTAAAAATCAGAGATGTTAATCGAGAAACTTGAATAAGCACATTGCAGTCCAAAGTTTGATGTGTCGATAAATTAAAATATTACAGTACCAAAGAAACAAGTGTAAAAGTTAATTTAGATTAATTCCTTATAATACAGACTCAGCAATGTAATTGCACTGGTAGTATATAAAAGAAGCAAGTCAACAGTTTGTTTAAATTTGTATAGCGAGTCAAGTCAGTTTACTGAACCATTAGCTGTCTAAATTATTGCTTGCATTTCAAAGGACATTAAGTTGTGCATTTGAATTAACTTTTGTGTAAAATCAAAATCAGAAGTACTTTACATATCTAAAATAAAAGAACATGTTTATTCCTGTAAGTTGATAATTATGTTGCACCTTATCTGTATTTTGAAATTTTAAAAAAAGATAAGAAAAAATGGAGTGTGATTTTTGTTGTTCAGGAGCAAAATATTGACTGGTATGTTATTTTTGTGCATTCAAAGCTCAATTCCAAGGTAAGGTTGCATGGTGCAACTTTTAAAAATAAATCAAACAACAAAAGTTTGCAGAGCCAAGTAACACAGTCCACCATGGTATGTAACATAAAGAATTTTAAACTGTTTTTCTGAAAAAGCGAGTGGTAAGGTTCAGCCTTGCAAATAATTTGCACTGAAATTCTTCAGTCTTCATTATGTAGTTCCGTCTAGTGTATCATATACAGTGGTGGCCAAAATTGTGGACACTTTAGGAAATTTTTATGTTTTTGAACTTTGTATGCTTATAGAAAATGTTACGTTTCGCAAAATGCAAACTTGTATATATCGTTTTAAAGAGAATTTATTACTGAATTCAATACAAAACACAAAATTCAATTATTTGCAATGCATAAAAAAATTATATGTAACTTTAATATAAATAAAAAACACAGTTATGAAGTGGTTTGTAATTGTCTAGCTTTCCTGGCCAATCACTGCTTCTTGTTCTGAGAACTAATCAAATGTTAGTAACTGCCAGTAGAATTTGACATCATGTTTTTCACTTGAAAAAAAATTCATTATTTTGCTTTGTTCTGTAGAAACAGGGCCTGTTTCTTATACACTGCAATTGCAAATAGGAATTTTTGTAAAAATTTTTAATATTTAGTCAAGAAGCAATGACATCAAATAAAAGAGTAGACTGGACACTTAGAAAGAGATGTAATATTATTGTGTTACGAGAAAGTGGTCTTTCCTATGCTGAAATTGCAAGACAGGTGGGTGGTTCAGTGACTAGATCTGGAGTCCGAAAGTTTTGTTTACAATATCAGGAGACAAATTCAATAAAAAACAAAGAAGGAAAAGGCCGAAAAAGGTGCACCACATCTATTTATGACAGAAGAATAAAAAGACTATGTCTTCCAAGATAGAAAAATGTCATCAGCGGCGATCAGAAGTGATCTGAATGATGCTGGTGTTTCTGTCAGTTCAAGAACAATCAGGAGAAGATTAACAGATGTTGGACTGAGAGGTAGAATTCCACGAAAAAAGCCTTATCTTAATTTTCAGCAACGAAAAAAAAGACTCCAGTGGGCAAAGGAACACATTAATTGGACAGATGATCAGTGGTCACAAGTTATATGGAGTGATGAAACTAAGATATTGTTATTCGGTAGTGATGGGCGAAAATATGTAAGACATAGAATAGGAGAAGAGCTACATCCTGACTGCATTCAAGCAACTGTGAAGAACCCAGTTAGTGTTATGATTTGGTCATGCATGTCAGCAGATGGTATTGGTCGCCTTCATGTCATCGATGGGACACTGAATGCCAGAAAATACATGACACTATTCTAGAACCAAAACTTCTACCTTCCATCAGAGATCTCTTTCCCAACAATGCTTCGTTTATTTTTCAGCAGGATTCTGCTCCTTGCCACACGGTGAAAATATTGAAAGAGTGGTTTCGTACAAAGAGCATTAAATTGTTGTCATGGCCAGGAAACAGTCCTGACCTCAATCCTATCGAAAATTTGTGGCACCGTTTGAAAACTCTTGTCTGAATGAGGTGTCCATCAAATAAAAGGAAACTAATTGAGGCTATAATTGTTTCCTGGCATCGTGTAATAACGAAAGAAGAGCTTAAAACTCTTGTCAGCTCAATGAAACGTCAATGTGAAGCTGTAATAAAAAATAAAGGGTACCCTACTAAGTACTGATAACTCACTGCAATCATCACTATCTAATGTATATCAATAACTATTATCATTTAACTTTTTTTTATTGCAAATAATTGAATTTTATGTTTTGTATTGAATTCAGTAATAAATTCTCTTTAAAATGATATATACAAGTCTGCATTTTGTGAAACATAACGTTTTCTATAAGCATACAAAGTTCAAAAACATAAAA